AGCTTCCCCACGAGCTTCTCCAGCTTACTCTGTGCGACTTCCGTTGTCCGCGGCATGCTCTAAGTGGGTCAGGCCCTACGACGCTTGCACTGCAACACATGTGAGACTTCTAGCACTGCAACACAGAATTGTTGAATCTCAGTGTGAGTAATGTCAGGTGTCAAGACATATCGTAAATTACTACATTCCTCTGTGAGCATAGACATTGCGCAGGCGGCTAAGTTGCTTGCCGGGCTACCCACCCCTGCCTCGCAAGAATATGTGTGAAATTCTTCGCGAGGTGACCCTAGGGCATTAACAGGGCTTGCTCGCAGAGCCAGACCGGCCCGGCTTCGCGAGGGAACCCTGTTAAAAATCCACGCAACCCTGTGCGAGCCATTTCCCAGGGTAGCACCGATTTTTAACTCCCCTCCCTCGCAGAGCCAGACCGGTCCGGCTTCGCGAGGTGACCCTAGGGATTTAACAGGGTCACCTCGCAAAGCCAGACCGGTCCGGGTTCGCGAGGCTCCTCGCAGAGCCAGACCGGCCCGGCTTCGCGAGGTGACCCTGGGGCCACCTTGCCGCGAAGTGTGAGGAGGCCATGTCGGCCTGCCTTAGCTTTGACAATTTTGTTAAGTTAGGAGACCATGTCGGCCTGCCTTACCTTTAGAAAGCAATTTGTCTCAAGCTGTCCTACTAGGAGGAGACCGCTTGGCCTGCCTTGATGACGGCTTATGTCTTAAAGTCTATACTTTGAAAAGACAATGCTCTGAGCTTTCGCTTTACTTTTATGACGACTAAGCCTCCTTCGATCATTGACCATTGGCCATTGTGTCAGGAGACCGCCCCGATATATCCAACCCAGTGTCATTGACTACGCCTCCTTAAATATCATCGACCCATGAGCAATGTGTGAGGAGACCGTGTCCACACGTGACATATTAATTTGCGTTCAACTGACTGAGCCTCCGGGGGGACCCTTATTAAATTAGGAGACCACGTGTTATCAGCATAATCAGCTGCCACAATAATAAAGAAAAACCAGGACCACAGAACCCTGAGCTGCCGCGCATTTTTTTCACACCACCTGCTGCTGACACGCGGAAGACATCCAGGTCGTCATCTGTCAATTAAGTGGACACCCAGGCCCAATGGCCTCTGCTGGCGTGGGACCAGTCTCCGGAACCTCCGCCGTGCCAGTCGTGCCACTCGCGCCAGTCATTTTGACGGCAGGGATGTAGGGGTCGTCCTCCTCTTCGTCGTCTTCGTCGTCTTCCCACTCCTGGTATTTTTTGTTGTACCAGATTGGTCGTGCTTTGCCTCTGTTCGCCTTCTTGCGCTTGGCAGGTTTCGAAGAAGGTTTCCAGTAGATGTCCTGACAGGCGAATCGCCATTGACTTTTCATGGAAAAGTTGTTTAAAAAAACTTACAGCCAAAAATTTAACGACGAGGCTCGCATTGCTTGTAGTAGCAAACGCCACGTCCAGCATAAGTTTGCCTGCCGCAAACTTTGCAAACCCGAAGGTCGACGGCTTGATCCACCGTCAGTGGCGCCGTAGGGGCTGGCCTCGACGACGATGCTGGCTCAACCGCGTCGACATCAACCACCACTCCTGGTCCTGGCACCGTCGTCGTCGTAGGAAGTGGCGCTGGAGTGTCAGCCGCCGTCTGAGTCGGAGTGTCTCCCCGTCTCCAGGGCGGCGGGGCTGCGTCAGGCCCGGGGCCAGTCACAGGCACAGGCGCTGTGCCAGGAGGTGGCATCGATGTGCCAGGGGCATTTGGAGGAGCGGCTTTGGCAGTCGTCGCTGCCACGCCGCCAGTGGCCAATGCCGGCGGCGGTGGCCGTGCCAGGAACGACCAAAGGCCCGCCAAGGCGTTTAAGGTGGCTGGGTCGGCACCAGGACCTCCGCCAGGAGGAGGAGCCGGTCCTCCACTGCCAGGACAAGCCGAAGGTCCAGGAGGAGCCGAAGGTCCTCCAGGAGGAGCCGCAGGTCCTCCAGGAGGAGCCGCAGGTCCTCCTTCGGGCGGCATTGCCACCACTAAGGCCATGAACACCACACAGCGGCGAAGCAGCGGCATGGCGGGACTTGAACGTCGTTTCGGTTTCGAGCGTGAAGTTTTAAACGGCTGCAGTTGACATGACACGGATTTCAACACATGACGAGGCAAAAATTTGTCTGACATGTGCCTGAGTCGTCTGACTGTCTGTCATGTCATATGCCATGTCAGTGGTGGACATGTCGCTGCCCCTCCTTGACGATGGTCAGGAGATGCTTAAAATTGGCAGACGCACACCTCCCTTCAGGCCAGGAGACGCGCGCCGTTACGGCCTCCTTCCTGGGGAGTCTGACATTAAAATATGTCTTTAAATTTAACGTCTCCTTAGGAGACGCCCGTCTCGATCAAATCGCCGCTTCCAAGCCTGACGGGAGACAGGCGCCTCCTTCAGAGTCTTAGGAGACAGGGAGCCTCCTTGAAAGTCGTAGGTACCTTATAGGAGGCGGGAGCCTCCTTCAAAGTCGGAGGAGACTTCGGAGCCTCCTTATTATATCAAAATGCGCAGACTGTGGACGATAGCCAAAAAGAACCCATAGGAAACTGAGTCCATTGATCATGTCATAATAAGCCTAGGGGCAACAGGGGCAACAAACAAGCATCAGCAAGTCGAATTTCAAACAAATTCAGAAAATCAAAGCCGTTGCTTCAAATGGACTTCCAAAAATTCACGAAATTCAGAAAATGAAAGCCTTCGTCTCATAAAGAACTCACAGAAATTCAGAAAATCAAAGCCTATCAATTTGAGAAAATGTTGTCTGACACGAAACCATTGACTGTTGGGGCTAGGAGAGCTTCATTATCCAATGTATGCCGCAGCCGCTGGAGAAATGAAAAGAATCAGTTTCGGGAAAATGTCCTTCTTAACTTGTATAGAAGCACAGGGATGCTAAACCTTTGAAGCGAAATGGATCATGGCCCTTAAGCATAGAAGCATCCGCTCAGAGCATTGTTTTGGTGCAATCCGCACGCTGTGCAAGGAAAATGTCGTGCGCGATCAGCCTGCAAGTAAAAAATCACCACGCTGTAGTGGCCATTCTTACCAGGGTCCCCAGCGGTATGTAACGGAAAATGCAATGTTGAAACCATTACAACAACACCATCCAAGCCTAAGGGACCCCGGTTACCATAGAGATGTTCACACACCAGTCTCTAGACAGTTAGCCCCATGGATATTTCCAAACACCAGTCTCCAAACACGTACTGTATGCCACGGAGCAGTCATACACCTGTCCGTTTTAGGGAACACTATGTATACACGCGAAATATTGCGTAGAGCAATAATCCTTGGTGTTGCTGCTGCCGCCAGCGGTGCTGCCAACGGCAACCTCCATGACCAAGTCGTCTGTAGCTTTGCGCGCCTTCTCCCGGCAATTGCGCCAGCAGACCATCCCTTGCACGACACATGAAACGTGCAACCCGGCTTCTGTAAAGTTCTGACACTGATCATTTTCCAGCTTCTTCTGCTGTGCCTCGCACGTGGAGAAATTTGACGAACATGGGCTGAAGCAGTTTTGAACTGCTTCGACGAACGCGCTGATCTTCTCTTGCCAGGCGGGCCTGGTCGTATTCGCCGTTCCCACAGCCACCGAGAAGCTCGTTGCAACGACGAGCAATGTAAAGAGCCTGCGCGCTTGGAGCTGCATGGCTTCGAGCGCACGCCAAGCTTAAAAAGCGTAGGTCGGGGCATGCAAAAGCTGCAGAAGAGCACAAAGAAGAGTAGCAAGATCATGAAGCTGACCAAAAGGTGACTAAAAGAAGACAAACTCCCAAGCGCTCAAGCTGGTCCACTTAGAAATTCTAATTGTCCAAACAGGTGGCTAAGTCGACCTTCCAACTGCCGACCGACAAATTATTCCCTGCAGCTGGGCGTCCCGACAACAGTAGCAGGACTTGAAGTCTCAACATGCTGGAAGAACCTTCGTAGAGATAAATACGAAGGATGGCTATTGAGAATTGGACCTGGCTATAAAGAACTGGACCTGCAAAATAAGTACATGGCGTTTCCAGGGTTGAACATGTTCGTACTCCAGAGTCCAGATCGTATTCTATTCTCTGTTCCCTTTGTCTGGGGTTTTGTTCTGTAACCAGGTTCTTGAGATAAAGCTTTGTGCTTGCAACAAGATGCCCATGCCCATTGCCGCCCAGTCTGGGTTCAACAGCTTGGGGGGGGCGTGAGAAAAAGAAGTCTGGGGATTTAAGTTGTTGCTGCACTTAAAATCTCCAGCGTTTGTATGTATAGAAATAACTTGGTATGCACGAGATTCTCGCAATAGTATGAAAATACTTTTTTGGAAGCATGAACAGAGCAATGATACATGCATGAATCATACAGTATGATGGAAACATTCCAGGAATATGATCGAGTTCATCATCTAAACATCATTTTTTCCCGAGAGCGTCTGAGCGAAGAGTTCTTCTAATAGTGGGGGTCTGTATATCATCTTCTCTTCACATCTTCCCGTCTTCACATCTACACATATCATCTTTTCATCTTCACATCTTGCCATCTTCACATCTACACATAACATCATCCTCTCATCATCTTCTCATCATCTTCTCATCTAGCTTCAAATACCTCTACCAAACCTTCGGTTACCAAACCTCCTAGTAGAAAGGGGTCGGCGGCACCAGGGCGTTAGCCCATTCTATTTTATGTAATTTTATGGGGGACCCCAACAATCATCCAAACATGGTGCCTCTTCATAGAGAGAAACCGCTGGTTTTTGGGTCCCGTATGAAAAGAACCTCCTAGCCTATACAGTATGTGTTTTAGCCACCGATCTATGGGGAGTTCATCCAAAGGCAGGCATATCACCACCTAATTTGTGGTGTTTGGTGAGGATACAGTCCAAAACAATACAGTTGAGTTTGCCCCCTGGTAATGAGAAACGTGGCAATGGAAAATTCTTCATTTATGGTTGACTTTCCCACAAAGATCCCCCATATTTTTTAAGGATTTCCCTTCAGGCGAATGCAGCCTTCGTATTCGCAATCTCTGAGACACGCCTGCAGAAATGCTGATGCTTCTGGGAGGGCCAAACTGCTGCACCCCAAGGGTAGAGCCCCCCATCTCAAACTTACCATTCCTGGGGAATCATGATCGGACAAAAGCACCAGGCAAAGGTCAAAGTCAGGTCGAAAGAAGCAAAAGTCGCACTGCTTCAGTTTCCCAAACACTTGGCTGTTGCATCCCCAAAAAGAGGATTTCCAAGAGGTACAGTATGGACACAGAATTCCTCAGGCTTTATCATTTTGATTCATTTTGATTGGATCTTCTGAATCTACACTCTGGTTATTTAACATAGCCATGGTATAGATGGCCCATTTATAGATTGTTTACCTACCAAAAATGATGGATCTTTCCATGGCTATGTTAGTCATAATCAGAGTGTACCTGCAGCAATTGCTGTCCTGTGCAAATCCTCGCGCCTGGTCTTGTCACGAGGGGTTCCCACCACGCAGGAGTGCTGGATGGCCTTGTCACGAGGGGTTCCGATGGGATCCATCCATCGGTGGGGGCCGGTTTGCACCTGGTGATTTTAAAGATCCATAGATCTGAAAGATCCGAGATCTTGATCCCTGACATGAAAAAGCAAAGTGGAATGGGATGGCGCTGGAGCACCATGTTACCTGTTGCATCAATATCCTCATGTTTGATATTTACGTAAAACTTATTTAATGATATTTAATGATGTTGTTGGTCATAATTCAGAACCTCCATCTTTTTTTTTGGTTGGCTAAACCATTCGAGATCATTCAAGATCCTTAAGGCGCCCGGAAAATACACCTGGCTTGGTCATTGCTGGTCCCTCCGGTGTTTCAAACGTGGCTGGGTGGATCCATGGTGGATCCTTTAGCAAGCCATGTTTGACCACAGGGTAACTTTGTTGATCCTTATTGGCAATGCAGAGGTAATCAAAGGCTTCTTAATCCAACCATAACCAAAGGTAACCCACCAATTCTGAGCACATCAAACTCCTTCACCAAGCTAAACTGCTGGGGTACTGGTATCGTTTTAGCCCTTAAAATTGACTAACGCATCCATGTGTGGTACTTCTGCGATCATCTTCTTGTACTTCATTGAGAAAAAGGAACCGAGTTTGTGCACCATTCTCATGTATATACTAACCAGTAAGTACATGAGACCCCACATTTCACCATAATTCATGGTTGGCATACCCATGAATCTTGACATTGTAGTTATATGTACTCATTAAATCGCATTCTTTCATGGACATGTCACCTTTAAGAAACCATGATTTAGGGGCATTCTCCGCCCAAAAAAACACCAAAAATGGGAGTTTTGTGACCCATTTGACCTTGCTGTTCTTCTCGACCACCTGTCATGCGGAGTCACGCTGCAGCAAGGGACCCCATCCCTGGTGTTTTTCAAGGATTCTGGGACACCAAATAGATAATTATTAAAACTATTCTGGGATAATTATGAAACAAATGATCTAATGATCTGTATATTTCTATCATAAATTATGGGATAAATGCATCTAATATGATCCAATACAAGATCAGGATCTCCATCGGTGGGTATGTTTTTTTTTTTAAACGGGGACAAGATTAGATTAACCTATGTCTTCACCAAAACCAGCGACAGTGGATATGCAGTTTGTGGTGCTGAAGTACCTCATCATTTTCCCCCTGAATTTGGGGTATGTCAATGTGTTGCGTACTGTTTGGGCACAGCGAGTAGAAAAACCAAGCATGCCAGCGAATCGAAAAAGGTACTCTCATACCCCTTTCATACATTTAACACATCTGTGAAAAAAGTCTGAAACTGATTGAAACTCAACACAAATTCACAGTTTACCTTTGGAAAAGAAGGACCTATTATGTTAGGCCAAACTGTGTAAATGTAGATGGTCTGTTGACCCCCCAAAAGTTTAGTTCTAAGGGGGATAATCCTGTACACCCATCTGATCCACAAAAAAGGCAACACCTGAATCCTTGCTGGTCGCTGCGAACCTCGTTGCGGTCCGCAACTGAATGTGAGATGGCGGGTGAACCTGCAAACGAGCAGCAGCACCTGGGTTTGTAAATGTGTATCGTATATGTGCGCACATATATCATATATATAATATAGTACAACGTGTTTAAGTATATCATATACGTACATATATGATAGTGTATGTATGTATGTAGGTAGGTAGGTATGCATGTATGTATGTAAGTAAGTAAGTAAGGTATTAATGTATGTATGTATGTATGTATGTATGTATGTATGTATGTATGTATGTATGTATGTATGTATGTATGTATGTATGTATGTATGTATTGATGTATTGATGCATGCATGAATGCATGCATGCATGCATGCATGCATGTATGTATGTATGTTGTATGTATGCATGTATGATGTATGTATGTATGCATGCATGTATGTCTGTGTATGTATGTGTGCATGTATGTACATATACAAAGTATGATGTGTTTATATAAATATATAATATACATATATATGATACAATGTGTAATATACACAGTATATGTAATAGCATTAAATAGCCACAGCTGCAGCTACCGCTAGAGGTTAGGGTTTCAGCCTTGTATCTCCCTGAAACTTCCAAGTCCTATCTTTGCACTCTCGTCCATGGTTTAGCTGAGATAACCTTTAGATGCCTTAGATCTCTTGACATCCCTCGTGTTAGGGACGAAGTTGGCAAATAACAATATCAACTCATTCCCCAATTATTTACCAGCATCAGTTTATCATATTGTTTTAGCCATATCCCATTATATTCCTATTGTTGGCTGCGTATCGCCATCTTTGTTGCTTGATCTCTCCGTGCGGTGAACCACCGCGACTGACCACAAAAAAAGGACCGCAACGATCCTCGCCTTTGTGTCTAAAGCGATAAGTGGTTTCACCTGCAGCTGGACTGATCCACTGAACTTCAGGAAATGGTTGGATTATGTTGGATTGCAACCTCAGGATAGTCAGCTCAGGATGTAATTAATTATATTAATTACTAGTTTCAACCCATTTACTCACCAGATTTCGTTTTCCAGTTTTCCGCATTCTCATGATGTGCTAAACCCAATAATTCATCCCATCAACCAACGATTTGGGGTCATTTTACCGTATACCCATAATAATTGCTTATCATTGGGTTTTACCATGGTTTACCACATTCTTCCATTTACTGACTTCAAGGTCACCAAAACATCCAATGCAGATCCCTGCAGAGAAAAGCCGACCCAGCGGCTTCAGACCGCCGGATCAACCTTGAAGCTGCAATGATTCTGGGACTAATCCCTTCCCCCATTCAAATGAAACACAGCCCCGGCGCTCTGGGGATGAACTCGCATATTAGGAACCATAGGCCATGGGGGTGTTTTTGGTATCAAGGGGATGGGATTATTGACTAAATCTACAATGTACTGGGGTATCTCCAATGATAAACACTAGCTGACACCACACCATGAAAGATCAGGCCTCCGCAAGCCAAAGCTGGCTCCACTAGGTCTCATTTTCTCTTGATCTGCTCTTGAAACCCAATGCTAGTGTATGGGTTATATAGGTTTGTCTGAAAATCTGGACTCCAAATTAGCTATTTTCAATGGACGGGATGATCATCCTCTGGACTTTGCATGGGACCAAAAAAATCTCAAACACACCACACCCATATGTGTTCAATTGCAGTAGCTGGCTTTGAAGTTGCGTTTGCCATTGCAGGGTCTCCACCATTTTTGGACAAACAAATACTAATTGGTTTATAAGCCCTATTAACAATAGATATATCTACCATAACCCATCTTTAAACCCTCAGGATTTCTGGGAAGAACCTCAGCCTTTTCTCCAGACCTAACCGCTCCCCTCCCGCCATTCCGCCTGTGACAGCGGTACTAGCCAGAAGCGACGCCCTGGCGAACGTATGATCTATATGTATGAGTATGTGTATGTGTATATATACATGTGCATGTACATGTAAATGTACATGTATCTGTATAATTAAGTATATTGATATGTATATGTACAGTAGATGGATATACATTCATCGATTTCTAGAATTGCGTAGTATTTGTAGCAGTATAGAATCTATAGACTTAAGTACTGGGGTGGCTTTTCTGTATCCCTAGTGCTTGCTACCCCCGCCGGATCACTGGATATGCATCGCTTCCCTAGTTTCCGCAAGGTCCAGCTGCTAGCTATGTATCCCGTCATGTCCCACTACATTTCCATGGAGAAATCCCACTTTTGGCTGGTTAAATCCCAGTTGGATCCTGGAACGGGCTGGAAATTTCATCTCTATTTCCAGTGGATAAATCTCAGAATTGGTTGAATCCCTATCGATGGTTCATGTTAAATCCCTGTTATGGGCTGCTTACCTGTCGCCTGCATCTGGATCATAGCATAGTAAATGATGTATGATCCCATTAAATCATGTTAAATCCCATAGTTTGTCATCAGTTTATGATCAACATTGGTAGAAATGGGTGTATTTCATTGTATTTCCCATTTCGGACACACCCAAATAGCATCAAATAGCATCAAATAGCATCAAATAGCATCAAATAGCATCAAATAGCATCAAATAGCATCAAATAGCATCAAATAGCGCCAACTGGCCATAACTCCTGAAGGTCAGCCTCTCCCCCATCGAACAACCGCAGGGGCCACCTGCCCTCATTGATGCGGCACGAGCGCGAGAGCTTCCCCGCCAGCTGCTCTCTTTGCCTCACCAAGGCGAAGAAGGCGGTGCCTATCTGGAATTTTCCCCAATTTTCCCGGGGTTTTCCTAAATTGGGGGATCCCCAAAACCATTGCAATGGTCTAAGTTTGGATGATTTGGGGTACCGCCATTATAGAAAACCTCCATATATTCAATGGGATATTCATGGATGATATTGCACTATAATCGGGATGATCATGGGAATGCAATGGGATATAGAATCAACTTGATAATATCCATGGTCAAAAGATTGTATATGTGGTATGGTCATCGATCCCACAATCTGAATCTTGACAATGGGTATGTATATAGATCCCCGTTAGCGGATAGACACCCTTTCAATGTCGGACCTCAAAAGGAACATTGCTATACAGTATAGCATCCTTAATCGTGAGTAATCGTGAGTAATCGTGAGTAATCGTGAGTAATCGTGAGTAATCGTGAGTAATCGTGAGTAATCGTGAGTAATCGTGAGTAATCGTGAGTAATCGTGAGCAGGATCCTAAAAAGTACGGCCCTAGGGCCCTAAAAGGTACGTAAAGGCCCTTAAAAGGTACAAATAGCATCAAGTAGCGGCTAAAAAAATGTGAGAAATCGTGAGTGAACATTTGCTAATTATAAACCGTCCGCTCAGAACCCTTGATATTGCTATAATCCCTCGGCCGTAGAATCCAGTGACATTGCTATAAACACTCGGCCGTAGACCCTCGGCATTGCTACGGTTTCTCAGCGAGGACGCCTTTTTTGTGCCACTGTTCCCAAGGACTCATTGAGTATGTCCTTAGGACTTACAGGACTTACTGTAAAAATACATGGAAACTTACGGGAAATCATCAATCTGAGTGCACATAATTGAGGGCTTTGTTCCAGAGCCAGGGGAAATCACCAGAAGGTGGTTGCTGGTGCTGCAGGTTCCACAGCTGGTGCTGCCACTCCTCTGGAATGAGCTACAAGTATAGGCCCTATATGCATTTCACTTCTAAGGCATCATTTTTGGTTTAGAACTGGCCCAAAAACTATTCACCTCATAATTTTCGAAGGAAATTTGGTAGTTGTTTGGACCTTGTGCCAGTCTTCGGTGTCCGCCCTTCGTCTCACCACCGTTAGGCGGCGAACACTCAACTGAGCAAAGGACCATTTTCCTTAGCTATGTTTAATAAGTGGAGGCTAAATACCTTTTTTTTGTGGAACCAGTGGAACCATAGATAATAGACCCAGTACCATTTTTTTCAAGTGGAACCAACTAGATCCCAGCGATTCTGGTTTTCTGTTTCCCCAAGGGTTTCACCACGGGTCAGTGAAGACCACGGGTTGAACACTGACCCAATTTGATCCAACGACAAGTGACACGCTCATACGCTTCTCGCCGAACATGGCCTCCTTCCCATGCAGTCCTGACTCCGAATCTCCGTGGGTAAGGCTTGAATACCCCAATGTTGTTTGCTATCTATATATTTATGTATATGTAACTGTATATTCCCCTATTGGTTGGTTTGTTGTAGTTGCATCATCATTTTTTGACCATATCATATCATGTCATGTCATATACGTGGCTTCACAAACAGCCACAGTTATCCCGGCGATCTCTTGATCGATTTCCCAGCTTCAAACATGCACCTTTGATAAGCTCATTCACTTAATCAAGGTTTAACCAGGCATTCTCCTGTCCAACATTGCATGAAAAATATCTATCCCATTCTCATTATACTGGTTGGTTAACAAGTATCCCTATGTATCCTTCTTTTGGGTTGTACTTATCCCCAAACCATCACAAGCCTGTCCTGGTAACGTCGTGGGACTCACAGGTTGAAAGTCAAATTCACAGGTGCCAGCCAGGGAGGCCCTGCCTGCCATGGCCTCATTTCAGCGATCTCCGCGATGGGATGTGGAACCAATGGCTCATCATGGCATAGAAACAAACTCTCTTTGAAGAAATCTGGATGATAGTTGGGTAATATATTATAATTCTGGATGATTTCATGATTTCATGTTAGAAATCTGGGTAAATTATAATATGTCACTAACCTGAAATGTTGGCCTATTTGGGGATGATTCCCCTTACGAGCTTACTAACCATGATTCCAGTGAGGAAGAACAGTGAGGTCGTTATAATTTACCCAGAGAAATGAATGTAACTATGGCATAGTTAAAAATTTAATCATCTACTCATCCAGAATTAGAGAAAAAAAAAGTAGTCTCTAACAGGTGAACCAGCCATTGGATAGCATAGGCTAGTAATCCAACATAGGTTTTTTTCCAGCAATGAAGAGTTAACATGGGTGTGCCCGAGAATCGGGCATGCCACCAAAATCTTGAATCACTTTAAGAAGGAGCATCTTAACTATAACCAATGGATTCAGTGATATTCAGGGGTACCATGGGGTACCCTATTTTCCGCCCAACTCATATCGTGAATATGATCAAATCCCCGCCAGAAACGGACCAGTTCTGGGTCCCTTTCGGTGCCAGCATCCCACATGTGAAGCCCACCTGGGAGAACCCTACAGGTTCAACAGCTGAAACGGAGGTGCGAGCAATTCAGAGATCTGATCTCTGCAGTGGCCGTGGGGGGTTGATGGGGGTTGGAAGATGTTGGAAGTGGGGCCACTGTTTCCAGATACTCAATCTGTTCTGTTCATGTCCATTGAACATCCATTTTTTTCGTGGCGATTGTCGCATCATCCGACTCAAAGCAGCTGATCGGCCGGCGATGAATGGATCGTTGGGGACAAACAGTGACTGCTACATGTGTGACTTCCAAGAAGCTCTTAGGATCCCAAACCACCAACTGAAGCCACTAGATAATCAAAGCCATATATAATATATAATAATTATAAATACTATACTATACACATGTCATGTATATAAAAATGCATATAACATCATATAACATAAAACAACATTATATTGAGCATTGGTTGACAATGTTTAAGAGAGGAACACTCAACTAACACCAAGTACCATAGCAGCTACACGAGCCCGGCTCAGTTTTTGATCCTAATTGGACTCCCAGAATAATTGAGGTGCCAAACGGGCCACAGTCATCACTCATAGCTGTTTTGAAAATGCCTAGTAATCCATCATTCCCAATCTTGCGGATCATTCAACTTGGGTTTGTCTGAAAATCGGTTATACTCCCTAATTATCTAATTCCAGTTTCTTTTGAACAAAAAACAACAAACCCAGAGCCCCCCAAAATCTTCCAAGCAGCCCAGCAGTTGCCTCGCCTCGTTTTTGAGGTCACCACGGCGCTTGTCTGAAAGTCCGTGCTTTTTGAAGCTTTTCACAGCACACTTCTCGCCATCTGCGCCGAAACTGCTGGGTGTTTGGGCTTCAACATGTTTCAACTCCAAATGTGCTGCCATTGTGGAACAATGCGCAAGGTGATCCAATCCGTACTTTTTTCAATTTGAGGCTTTTGCACTTGAAATAGGTTTGGTGAGCTCCTGAAATTGCTTTGTTGATTTGTTCTATGATTCTATTAGCATTGGTTTTTCTGATTTCCCATCAAACCCAACCATAGAAAAATCGCCATAGAAAAATCGCATCGGAAATAGCAGCGAAACCATTTGCAGAAGCGACCAATGGGTAACTTGGGGGGTGCAGTTTCACTAAGAACTGGCTGCCAGGCTCAACCATGCACCGAGGTCATGACAAACCACTGGGGAAATGTGGGGAATCTGCGAAGCAAACACTCCATTATTTGTGGCTTCGATTCCTTGAAACACATGCTGAAAAAAATCGTGAGTCGTTGCCATTTTCAAGGCTTACTGAAACTTCATACATACATACATACATACATAACATAACATTACATTACATTACACTCCACTCCATGCCATTCCATTGCATGCCATTCCATTACATCAAATTATATCACATATGACATCACATTACATTACTAATAACATACCATACACATCCACACACCATTCATGATATTAGTGCATTAGAAACAACGTAGAAACTCCAACCATGCCTCCCCCTTTGCTCGTTGCCAGTTGCACTGGGCCACTCATGCCAGAGCCCAGCACCTCCGAAAACATGGCTGTGGGTCATTTGGGATGGATAGTTCAGGCGAATGTTACCAAACTATCTTCACCAACATGGACAAAATATATAAACATTACCAAACTATCAATCAAAACAGTTTATCAAACAATCATGTTTATTGGTTTGGTAATGTTTGGTAGTACTGTACCAATTGATAATCATTGTTTATATAATTATATATATATCATATATATATATATTATAGTTTCTGTAGATTGTTTTAACGCACAAGCACGCAGCCTTTCGTGTTGCTTTCCCCAACAATGGCTTGTGGCTTATATCCCAACTCATGGGGGTAATGAAGACCCAAAAATCAACAGACTGGATCAACACATACCTGGTTGGTGGTTTTAACCATCTTGAAAAATATTAGTCAATGGGAAGGATTATCCCATATATGAAATGGAAAATAAAACATGTGTGAAACCACCAACACATTACACTCCGGCAATCTAACATAACTATGGAAAATAACCGTTTTTCCTAAGGAATTTGCGTCATCTACAAATGGGCCACTTTCTATGGCTATGTTAAATCATCGCAGGGTAAACATCTTCACTTTGCCTCTACCTAGCTACGTCACTTACTGTATCTTCGCAAAATCTGGATTGATTTGGGATATGGGGGGTTCCATAACTGGGATCCTAAAATGGATGGTTTGTATGGAAAATCCCAATCTAAAATGAATTTTTCAGGTGGTTACACCCCACTTTTTCAGAAACCTCCATTCATGGTCCATTAATTGTCTACGTTTTTGGGGCGAATCTACGAACCTACTCGGACCGGACCCCGTTGTATCACCGTGAATTGTGCGGGCCCCTTTTCTGCGATGATCCGATTCTACCGGTTCTGTTGGCGATGATTTTTGCTTTTAAAATCTTTTACCATCTGGTAATTTAACATCGCTATGGAAAGATCCACCATTTTTAATGGGTAAATCCACTATTTCGACTGGGCCATGTTCAATAGCTATGTAAACGTTTACCAGAGGGTAAATATCATCACTAGGTCAAGACTAAACCGTGTCGCTTCAGCAGATTGGTGAACGTCCTAGAAGCGAAACTTAAATATACATATTTGGTTCATTCTTGGGGCGTGAACAGCAACGTCCCAGGGTGAAATGATCCAAAGTATCCCACTGATTTTGTCACAAACCAACAATGCTTGCTGAAGGAATTCCTATAATTGCTGAGTAATGACCCAAGTTATTGCCTGATAACCCTTACCCTGGTCATCCCTGGTCTTCAATCATGGTTTGCCGAAAAAATGGACCATGTATAGTGACAAGTCTACCACTATAAAACCTCCATGGCTAGTTCAGGGATATGCCGGCCATGGAGCTGACATGAGCTGACAGCACATGTCGATGGAGCTGAAATATCCTCCCAATTGGGTCCTCCACATGTCCCAACGCCTTGGAAGCAAGCTGGTAGTCGTCTTGCAGAAGCCTACGGCGCGATGTCACCCCGAGGCGAAGGGTGATGCGGGCAGATAGGGCAGTTCTTCATTTTGCCGGAGAATGAACACCCAAAGAACGTGGACTTGACGGGTAATACTGGGAAGCAACAACAACAATCACTGAGATCATTGATAATCATGACAGGATCCATTGCGATAAGATATTGCTGGTACTACTACTACGCTCAGACTGCTACTCCTGCTGCTGCTGCTGCTGCCACACCTTCATGAAATTGCAAAGACCACATTCAGGTGATATGTGGATTTCATGATGTTAGCCAAGCGCTGTTTTCTTCTGGCACATGCACTGTTGACGGCACATGTCCCTGCCCCAAAAAAGATCCGTCCTTTCAGCACGACTGTCAAACCATGGAGTACGATGACACCCCTGGAGTACGATAATTACTTTTCTGGTATGCCAAAAAACAGTATGTGTGGCCCCTTGACACCTTCCCAATGGACCCTACACCATTCATGTTTTTTTCACATGCCAGAAAAGTTCACACTTGGCCCCGCCGACCCTGCTCAAGTGCCTGAAAAAACATAGAAAAAAATCCGCGAGCTCAAAAGTACCAGATTAGCAGGGAAGGCGATCGTATGTGAAATTTCAGAGGTTTCAGGTGGGAACTCCGTCTTCCTCATATTCCAGAAATACGTGATTCCAGACCACTTTAGCTACAAAAAAACACCTGGTGAGGCGACAAAAATGCAAAATTCATCTCGCTTCCCGGATGCAAAGATTTTGCGGTATGCGATGCCCGTTCTGGAGCGCGATGATTTCTGAGAATGTGTGGTGCATCCAATGACACCTGTGGAGTGTGATGATGCCAAGTGCGTCAATTGTTGAGTATGCCTGCCTAGAAAGGCCAATAGAGACAGCCAGAAATTAAATTCCCAATCCCAGCCCAACCCTCGACAGACACACCAGTGTTTTTTGTTTTCACACCATGCAAAATTTCACTGGCCCAACCATTCCCTTCACATTGAGCTGACATAAAGTAACATACCAAAACCACCCAACCAAAACCCAGGTCAGTTCCATGAAAATTTGGTCCAGGCATTTTTCTACGGCAACAGTTGCCTTTAGAATAATGATCATTACTGTCATGACTTTTTTCGTAATGCCGGGAACTTATTGGTCAAATCTGGGATCGCCAAAGAGACCACCGCCATGGCGCCGTCACAACTTTTTGATGTGTGTCTGCCATACTTCTTTGCTCCACCGGATACAATGGGATATATTTATATAATATGTATATATATATATATTTATACATACAACTAACCATGTGAGTGGTGGTGGTGAGCTAAATGATGGAATAGACATGCATCAATTGGGGTGAACATGAGCTTTTAGAGGATTAATTGGTTTCATATGGGCTTACAACTGGGTATAACTAACAAGATGTTTCTGGGTTTTTGTCTCCAAGGAATTAAGCAAACTCTCTTGGCAATTTAACATAGCGAACTGGAACATCACCATCTTCAAAAGGTAAATCACCATCTTTATCATCTATACATGTGCTTCGATGCCAAAGCTATGTTGCAAATTACCAGAGGATAGTCATCCGATGAATCATCCCTATATAAGTAATAACTAATCCCAATATAGATGTATATATGGGGGTTTCCTGAAGTAGGGACATCCCCAAATCATCTATTTTAGTAGGATTTTCCGTTATAAACCATCCAGCTATTGGGGATCCCTCATTTCAGGAAACCTCCATATCTATATATATATATGGCAGTGTGTCAAAACCTTGTACCCCTGGTGAACATCAAAATAGCTGGTAAATAGATGTTCATCCCACTAAAAATGGTGTGTATAGGTATTGATCCATACCCATATGTTTTCATGGGCTTCATCCCATATCATCATCCCAAAAAACCCAATACAATCATCCACCGCCTGTTGGTGCAGTAGCGTCCAGTCACAGGGATCTTCCCCTTCTTTTCGATCACCTGCTGGTGTCCAAGGTGTTTGTTGGATAGCTCAGTTGGTAAAGACAACGAGATTGAAATAGGTTAACCTATGACAATCTATGGTTTCTGGTAGAATAAATATATCAACTAATTATATAAAGACTCCAGCAACAAAAACTAAACAATTCTGAATATCTGGTAGACGATACATCTATGGTTTATATCCTTTGGGCAGTTTATAGATGTCAAAGGAGTTTATTTGAAATTTGAACCAACAATTGGGAACCACGGGTCCGGCTGAGTGCCGGTAAATTCTACTATTTCACTAGGCTGAAATATGACCATATTGAGAGAATTACCAGGTCGTTATCATTTACCAAGAACTGATCGATTTTCTCAGGTAAAATGACCATTTCTGGTGACATCTAGCCCAGTAGCATCAGTAGCCTGATGCCCCCAGTGATACCATGATACCGTGGGTCCTGACCCCATCCCTTAGCCTGGAAAAGGGTCAAAACTCTGGTGAAATTTTGGTGAACCCCTGGTGAACTCATACCAACATGACTGGTAAAATAGAATAATGTTCATTCCCCCAAAGATGGTACCCTCCAATCAATGAAAATAGACCCTGCCAGAGATTGGAAGATTAGTTTCCACCAACATTGGTTATTTTTCAAGATCTATTATAAGAAATTTTCCAGAGGGTATAATCACAGCCCACGTGGGTGGGGGGCCCCAACGTATATTCGAAACCTCCTTTTGCCCCACAGGGAATATATCATAATTTGCAGTATCTGCAGTATCTCCTTTTCTTGGACAAAACCCATATTATATATATATATCCCATTCTATACCCCCAGTGTCTTTGGAGTTATCTCCCAATATTATTGTATCATCTGCATATAAAGAACACATGCCTAGTGGAATGATCATCCCGTACAGGGTTGCTCCCAATATCTGTAATTACCCTCTGGTAAACGTTTACATAGCTATTGAAAATCACCATTTTTCATGGGAAAACTCACTATTTCTATGGCCATTTTCAATAGCTATTTTGACATAACCAGAGGGTACGTTTGGGGTGGACATTGGCTGGCAATCGCCTGCAGCTTGGAGCAAGCCGTAGATGTTTGATGCTTAAATCATGTGAAATCCCACTGTTTTTTTTTACCCATTTCTACACCAGTACATCCCATTGAATCACATGATGTCACATTCAAATGGTGTGTGTTTAAATCCCACGTTTGATGCGTTTTTATCCACATTTCTCATACTTAAATCATCTTAAATCAAGATATTTATCAGTTTCTGATCCAGAACAAATCCACAAGTCTGATACTTATATAAATCCACCCATTTTTCACCCGTCGCTTGCCGCGTCGCGCAGCAATGCGATCAACGCCGCCTCGGCGGTGTCGATCCACTTGCTCTTCTCATCCACCAAGGTAGACCTGGAGGAGTATTAATGATGTATAATGGTATATATAATATATAAAGGTGGATTAATGGCCACTACAATATACATCATAATACATCATAATACATCATTAATATCATTAATATATCATAATACATCATTAATACAAAATATATTAATGGTATAATGGTGTATCAATCAGGATACCATTGTATTAATGGTGTATCATAATATATGTATATCAAAATATATGTATAATGGTATATATAATGGTGTATTAATGGTGTATTACTGTATTAATATATATGGACATATGACATGTTATATTTTTAAACCACAGTTATATAATAGTGTATTAATCAGTTATATGTGATTGGAATAGGATGTAAAAAAATGTATAGGTTAAATTGCATTAAATTGCAGCACTAATAGATGTTATATGTTAATAATAATAATAGAATATATTTATAATAAATCAGTTATATGTTACGCATGAATAGGATGCACCACTATATTATAATAAACAGTTACATGTTATATATATATAATCCCATCAGTTATATATATACACATATCATAGGATAGGTGATGTTTCTCTTAAAAGATGTTATGGATTTCTAATGTGATAATCCCGTCAGTTTAACATGGGCTTCATCATTTTTCTTTGTGAACTGATAGGGGGATACCAATTAACATAAGACTGATATCACTGATTTCATGGTTGATAAGTATTTCATGGGTCTATTAAAAAATGTTATCATTGGTTTATATGGACAAAAAATAACCACCAATCATATTTCATGGAATACTACTATTTAGACATCAAAACTAAGGTAGGGGGTTGAACAATTGTTCTTCACCCGCAAACAATATGGATTGAACTGGTCATTTAAGCGGCAAACATTGGCATATGTAGATTTGACCAGCAAAAATGGGGAGTTCAACAAAGGAACAATGAGGAGTTGACCACAAGAGAGAACAACCAGAATAATCAGGAGATGAACCTGATGATGGATTTGACAGAAACAGGGACATGGACTCAGAAACATGGACTTGCTGCAAAACTTCTCATGTTGCGGGGTTTGAGATCATTTCGGCTGCAAAACTACCCTCTGGTAATTTAACATAGCTATTGAAAATCACCATTTTTAATGGGAAAATCCACTATTAATGGTCATTTTCAATAGCTACGTTAGTCATTACCAGAGGGTATTCCTTGATCTGTGGCCCACTGAATCCACTGTTCCCCAACGATCCTCCGGTGAAACAACTGGTGACGGATCCCAAAAACCTGACATCCAAAAACCACATCAAAATAACTACCCCTACAATGGTATTCATTGGTATTTCATACGAAGATCTCATAGATTTTGATAGATTTTGACCCATTCTCATAGATTTTAATCATTTTTAATCCATTATTCAGGTTCGGATTGGTGCATAATTCACCACACCTGAAAATAATGTCCTTTGACAAGTGACTGCCCCAATCCGAACCACCAATGTGAACCCCACGTCGCTGCTGCACCGGCGCACCTGGTGCTATCATCTCGGCTCACTGATCCACCCATCCACCTGAGGCGTTCGAAGAGCTCTGGGCTCTATGACTGCCACATACTATAGGAATCACTGAATAACGGATTTATAACAGGTGACATTAAGACATTAATTAGCTATATATGTATATAGCCTTTATATATAATATACTTATATAAATAGATCTATAGTTTTTCGGCAGATGCTTTGTAAGCCAAATCGATGTCAAGGGGATTGCTGTGCTCACCTCATAGCTTCCGAACATCTTCTGCCAAATACTATCAGTGCCACCCAAAAAGAATATGCTTTGGTATATTTGGTATATTTGATATATTTGGTATATTTGGTATATATCATTCTGGGGTCTTGGGGAGGGTTGAACGCAGCAAAATACAGACCACAGTGACCCATGGCTACACAGGGATACCCCAAGGAAGTATAGCTTTTCGCTGCTTTTGGTGGGACATCGCATTACATTTCTCCATGTATGGTTTAATGTTGTTTGATTATTTTGATGTTTAAAACCAGATTTCTAATATTTCCATATATTTATAGTGGGATGTGGGATATTGCAAGCTAAAACATCGACTTTAGGGCCCCAGGCTTGCTGGTGATCAGGCGAATGCCACTGCCACAAACATCAAAGCATTCCGTCGCCATTCGACACGGCGGCCGGGCGTTCGGGGCAGTCCTCGACGCGCTGAGCCAATGCGGAATGCCACAAGAACTCAAGGAGTTCTTCACTCACCGCAATGGATCTATAAACCAACCAAGTATCAAAATCCATGGCTACAGCTGAAAAAATGAGGCAACCACTCATACTGCCCACGAATCTTAGGCGCATTGCTTCCAACACATCCATTTCTGTGCCATGGCCATGCCGGGCTGTCTATCAGTCACCAATTAGAGAAGATGTGAAGAAAAAAAAACGGGAAAAAACTGTGCGATGTATGGCACGACGCTGTGTGGTCCTGGTAAACTGTATATCTGTAAACACACTCATAAAATATCATAAATCATCTTCAACTTCCCATGAAATTGCGTTATGAAGCATCCTCAACTGGAGGTGTATTGTTGGATGAGTTTCTTTGTTGTGATGCATGCTGTACCTTTTTTCATCTCGCACCATTTTGTCACAACTCCTAGACATCTGCAGGTGAAACTCGAGTCGCCCTTAACGCGGTGAAATGTCAGTCGAATCAGATGAATGGTACCAGTTCCTCTACGTCTTGGATCAAGTTCCTTAGATTTCCTTGGACCTTCTCATCCAATCCGGAAAATCATGGCCAAAAACACAAAACCACCGTTGGACCTTTCAGAATGACATAGAATGACCCATGACAATTCACATTTCTCATGGTCAAACGATCAACCCCCTATTTGTGATGGTTAAATTTCATGTTTGATCGTCAAGTCCACATGTTAAAAATGGTTGAATTCTCCATATTTTGGCTTTGAAATCACCTGAACAGCGTTCGAACTGGACCCTGTGTCATGCCTCAACAAAGGTTGGTTGAGAACATTTGCCATGGAATTCTGATACAATATGTCCTTTTGGGAATTACAGAAGGGGCTGGTTTAGTATATCATTTATTATCATCGATCTATTAGTGTAGTTGTTGAATGAGGGGAACCTCCTGGTTTATCAACCAACTTGTGGGAACGGACTTGTGATTATTCCCACTATATTGGTTCACTCAATCCCCTATACAATCATCAACCCACCATCATGTATCAGTTATATCCACTTACATCATCTTACATCCCTATCATCTTTGATGATTAGCATCCTATTCAAAACCCCATGACAATCCAATACAACATTGTGATTATCCCCAATCCCCAATATATTAGCATCAACCAACCATCATTTATCAGTTCCACTTATATTTATATATACACACCCCCAAAGTTAGTAGGATGGTTAAACTCCGTAAGTTAAAATTTTCCCTTTCTCGTCATCTATACTATCTATACCCCCATCATCTTTGATGATTGATGCTTAGAATCACCAAAAAACCCTGAAATTCATCCAGTCGCTTCCTAAGATCGCTTGCCGCAGTGACAAGAACGTGGGTCTCAAGGAAAGAACTCTCTTCAATGGTTTGGTTCATAACAAGGGGGGCCAAAATGGACCCACAAATTACATATATATATAATTACATATATATATATAATTATATATATATATAGTTATATATATATACATATTATTTTAGTATACAGTATACCAATGAATTCAATCATCATAATCATGGAATTTCGGGGTCCAACTGAGCCATACCCAAACGGCAGATACAAAATGAACACCTGCCATCCCAGGGATTTGCTCCGTAAATTGAACAAAGGCCACAAATTGGGTGAATGAATGTATATAAATGATCGATTCAACTGGTTCCTTAAGGCCATGCCCAAACGAATAACTACTTTTCAATTTAGGATTTTTGTTCCTCAAATATCACAAAGATCTATGAAATAAGGCAAATTCGAAGCCATACAAGGTGAGGCTCCCCAGTTATAACTTAGCTTGTAAACTCCATTAACCATATATATATACTTAAATCCCGCAAAAACATCCATAAACCATAGACCATAGTTATCCCATAGCCACCTGTAAACTCGCAAAGAATGGCTTCACTGTGACATGGTCCTGTTTGAGACCAAAGTGGTTTGCGGAGCCATGCGACCGTTTTCAACGAAGATGCTGAGTGTCTGATGCCTCTCATGGATCCAAATATCCAATCCAGGATGACCAGGCCGTCCAAGTTTGAAGCCACCCAAATGTATCCAATTAAACCACATCCAAAAAAACACCCGTAAATATTCCTGGTTTTCCTTACCAACACCTATAGGTGTGTTTCTTGGTAGGCCTTTCCTCAGATCTTCGATCAAATGGAAAGAGCTTCTCTCAAGGTTCCAACTTCTTGAAATCCTTGAAACCTCGGAGCCACGCACCATTTCGAAACGGCTGTTTGACGTCACAGGTCGATCAGTCATCGACAAACATCGCACCACAAACATAAATGCATATATATATATAATATTATTATTATATATATCCGCCGACCCCGGCAGACGCAAGGGGGAGCGCGCCAGGGAATAAGACAAGCAAAGACAAGCAAAGACAAGCAGCAGCGGCAGCAGCAGCAGCAGCAGCAGCAGCAGCAGCAGAAGCGATAGCATGTATTTTCTCCGCAGGTAGGCTGCTGAGTTTTTGTGCACCAGCTTCCCGGAACTCTTGTGGGTCGGCCATGTAGGAATGCATGGTTGTCTTCGGATAATAAGCGTCCGACGCGAAGTTCGGCTTGCAGGGCCTGTTCGTCCTTCCGTGCCTTGCTGTTTTGGTGCCGGGAGGTGCTTTTGATACTCTTCTGTTAGCAGCAGCAGGTGCTTTTGGGCAGCAGCAGCAGCAGGTGAGCTGGTGGGAGATTGAAAAAGTGGAAAAGATTGAGAAAAAGACAGGGAGCAGCAGGCAGCAGCAGGCAGCAGCAGGCAGCAGGCAGCTGCAGGCAGCAGCAGGCAGCAGCAGGCAGCAGCAGGCAGCAGCAGGCAGCAGCAGGCAGCAGCAGACACCATCAGAGGCAGCAGCAGGCAGCAGCAGACACCAGCAGACACCAGCAGACACGAGCAGGCAGCGGCAGGCAGCGGCAAAGTTCAATTTTATAGTAGGGTTTCAGAAGTGACGTTAGGCCCTTTTTTGGGGTTCCTTTGCTACGTTTTGGGCACGAAATTAGGTGGTGTTTTGCTGTTTCGGATGTGTTTCGAAAAGGGTGTCTGGCTGTTTGTTTCTTGCTTTGGAAGCTGTTTGATTGCAGCAGCACCACAGCAGCAGCAGCAGCAGCCACCAGCAGCAGCACCAGCAGCAGGCAGCAGCAAGGAGCAGCAGGCAGGCAGCAGCAGGCAGCAGCAGGTAGCAGCAGGCAGCAGCAGGCAGCAGCAGGCAGCAGCAGGCAGCAGCAGACACCAGCAGAGGCAGCAGCAGGCAGCAGCAGGCAGCAGCAGACACCAGCAGAGGCAGCAGCAGGCAGCAGCAAGCAGCAGCAGGCAGCGGCAGGCAGCGGCAAAGTTGCAATTTTATAGTAGGGTTTCAGAAGTGACGTTAGGCCCTTTTTGGGGTTCCTTTGCTACGTTTTGGGCACGAAATTAGGTGGTGTTTTGCTGTTTCGGATGTGTTTCGAAAAGGGTGTCTGGCTGTTTGTTTCTTGCTTTGGAGGCTGTTTGATTGCAGCAGCACCACAGCAGCAGCAGCAGCCACCAGCAGCAGCACCAGCAGCAGGCAGCAGCAAGGAGCAGCAGCAGACACCAGCAGACACCAGCAGAGGCAGCAGCAGGCAGCAGCAAGCAGCAGCAGGCAGCGGCAGGCAGCGGCAAAGTTGCAATTTTAAGTAGGGTTTCAGAAGTGACGCCTTTTTTGGGGGTTCCTTTGCTACGTTTTGAGGGCTGTTTGATTGCAGCAGCACCACAGCAGCACCACAGCAGCAGCAGCAGCAGCCAGCAGCAGCACCAGCAGCAGCACCAGCAGCAGGCAGCAGCAGGGAGCAGCAGGCAGGCAGCCGCAGGCAGCCGCAGGCAGCTGCAGGCAGCAGCAGGCAGCAGCAGGCAGCAGCAGACACCAGCAGAGGCAGCAGCAGGCAGCAGCAGACACCAGCAGACACCAGCAGAGGCAGCAGCAGGCAGCAGCAAGCAGCAGCAGGCAGCGGCAGGCAGCGGCAAAGTTGCAATTTTATAGTAGGGGTTCAGAAGTGACGTTAGGCCCTTTTTTGGGGTTCCTTTGCTACGTTTTGGGCACGAAATTAGGTGGTGTTTTGCTGTTTCGGATGTGTTTCGAAAAGGGTGTCTGGCTGTTTGTTTCTTGCTTTGGAGGCTGTTTGATTGCAGCAGCACCACAGCAGCAGCAGCAGCAGCCACCAGCAGCAGCACCAGCAGCAGGCAGCAGCAGGGAGCAGCAGGCAGGCAGCAGCAGGCAGCAGCAGGTAGCAGCAGGCAGCAGCAGGCACCAGCAGACACCAGCAGAGGCAGTAGCAGGCAGCGGCAGGCAGCGGCAGGCAGCGGCAAAGTTGCAATTTTAAGTAGGGTTTCAGAAGTGACGTTAGGCCCTTTTTTGGGGTTCCTTTGCTACGTTTTGGGTACGAAATTAGGTTGTGTTTTGCTGTTTCGGATGTGTTTCGAAAAGGGTGTCTGGCTGTTTGTTTCTTGCTTTGGAGGCTGTTTGATTGCAGCAGCACCACAGCAGCACCACAGCAGCAGCAGCAGCCACCAGCAGCAGCACCAGCAGCAGCACCAGCAGCAGGCAGCAGCAGGGAGCAGCAGGCAGGCAGCCGCAGGCAGCCGCAGGCAGCTGCAGGCAGCAGCAGGCAGCAGCAGGCAGCAGCAAACACCAGCAGAGGCAGCAGCAGGCAGCGGCACAGCAGACACCAGCAGAGGCAGCAGCAGGCAGCAGCAAGCAGCAGCAGGCAGCGGCAGGCAGCGGCAAAGTTGCAATTTTATAGTAGGGTTTCAGAAGTGACGTTAGGCCCTTTTTTGGGGTTCCTTTGCTACGTTTTGGGTACGAAATTAGGTGGTGTTTTGCTGTTTCGGATGTGTTTCGAAAAGGGTGTCTGGCTGTTTGTTTCTTGCTTTGGAGGCTGTCTGATTGCAGCAGCACCACAGCAGCAGCAGCAGCCACCAGCAGCAGCACCA